TTCATGGAAGCCGCTCAAAAGGGCACACCCTACCACATTTAATTCAGCAAGCGAAAAATTGTGACGACGGCGACGGCGTAATAGGAGGATATAGGAAATGTGAATAGACCAGGGCAAAAGGGGAGATACCACAACTGTTTAGCACACGTTTGGTCAAAAGATCGGCTTCACTTGTCTCTTTGACGAGTCGTAATATGGTGCTACGAATGGCAAAACTCACTGATGATGCCGACTACGATGCAGGCGAAACGTCTGCGAATGTACCACGTACATGGTCTGACTTTGGAAATGATTATGCATACAATGGACTCCGGACAAGGTGCGTTCCTCTAAGTCTTCCTACCAATATGGCCATGTTGCGAAAACAAGGTCAAACAACCTCTATACAACGAAAGGAGACTGCGACCACACAAAAGGTTACACCATAAGTTGCGAAAACAAGGCCAAACAATTTCTAGTTTTAATTTAATCTAACTTTTGTAAAAAAAATACATCTCCCATGAAGCAGAGCTTTTCGATAATTGTTTGTGTTTTCTTTGCCTCAGTCAAAAAGTATGTTATTTTAATGCGAGATTGCAGATTATTTCATTTTTGTAGACTTGTTCAGCCTTTCACAAGAGCAGTGTACATAATCCAACACTAAGTGAAGATTTCCTTAATCATTTATTCATTTAAAGTGATTCCTTCTCTTCTCCCATACCTGCTGGTGTATCCCACATGGATATAAATAGTAATGCTTGCTTCTACTGGTTGATGATCCTTAACGATTTATACCGTTTCGGAGCAAGAATGTTAAGGCTTGTGTTCTTTTTAATGCCACCGCAAAGTAAGAGTATTGCATAATATAAAAGCATTACATCTTTCCATAAATTTGAATACTTTAGATCTACTTACTTAGTCATGCTGCAAATATTATATTGTAAACATGGCTTTACTTCAAAGGTCAATATCCTAGCTACATAAACCAGTGGGGAGCGGTTACTTTTAACTTTTATACTTTTTTAAGTAGTGTACTTGCATCGAATGTTGCCCACGTTCATTGTAAAAAATTGATCGCCGCACAACATTCTTGTCTCCTACCCGAAATTCCATTTGAAAGAGGACTACTTTACTTGAGAGTATGGCCCTCAATGTAATTTAATAGCACTAGTTCACCCATGATTTCGTGCTAAACTGTTTATGGTTCTTCAGATTCTGTTGTTATCTTGGGTATTCTTGAGAAACCTAAGCGCACTTTGAACCGAGATCTACCACGAATGATACATCTTTTTTCTAAAAACAATCCAATCTCAATTTAAGTCCACTTATATTCGGGTTGTTAAATAATCACCATTGTATACTTGATCTAAGTTACAAGCACATAATATACGCTTTAGTTATTCTAAGTAATTGTATCTCAATATTTATGTTTAGTTCATTTAATATTGTTGAGGGACCTTTATTTCTTATGAAAGTGCATAAAGAAAAGATTCGTTGGTCGACCTCACCAGAAGGGGACGGATGAATGCCGTTGTACTGAATCCGTTTGGCTTTTATACGATGTTTAGGTATGCGCAGTCCACGAAACTTCCTTCTTCGTTTCGGGGGAAAACGGACTGAGCTTTCGTCCATCATATGATGGATATCATCAGAGCTGGGTGTCCTTCCAGGAATGATAACCTGGATTCTCAATTCATGCCATTTTGGCATAGTGCTTCATCGAAACCCAGTTTCTTTTCGTAGTTCATTTAATCTAGCTCTGGAAACATATAGATATAGAAGTAGTGAAGCCGAATGAATGTGTTTGGACACATTAACGCAGGTAAGTCTGAGCAGACATAGTCTGGATGTTGTGTAAGCCGAAAGAAGGCACATGCTCTCGCTCTATTTTTTATTAGTCACTCTTAATAGCATATGATTTATGTTGATCAGACTCATTTTGTGTTGTTTATATCTTCTACTTTTTTCAACACAGTGAGCCATTTTTGGATGCCCGTAATTGTTGATTCATTTTCAAAAATTCTCCCCAGCTTTGCTCAAGGCTCTTTTGGCAAATTTATTTTCATCAAATTGATGCTAACACATCTGTCGAAATGTAGCCATTTTACTATCGCAACTTCTTTTGGCTTTATCATCTTGCAAAGTTCATCTGCGAATACATTCTCTAAAATGGATACAATTTTCTCTTACAACTTCCGGCCTCTCACTAGGTGAACATTTTCTCCAGTCCCTGGCCCTCGTTCTATTTGTACAATAAATTTGTATTGGGATGTTATTTTCTATTTATCTACACTTCGAGCCTCTCAATAATTCCTAACCAGTTTTATCTTTTATATCTCATCTTATGGGCCTAGTTATTTGGTTCATAATAATTGATTTAAGTGCTCTTCATCTGTTTTGCCGCCTTTAGCTCGTGAAGTTAAGGTCAGATCGGCAACCGTTCTGATAAACGTGACCATTATTGACGAGAATGATAACGCGCCTACCTTCACTCACGTCGGACCTCTCTCAATCGCCGAGAACCAACTGGAGTACACACAACTCAGCGAGAAACTTGCCGCTTTTGATCCAGATGCTGGTGAAAATGGTCAGGTGAGTGCTTATATAATATCTAAGTGTGTTATCATTCTTGAAAACTGACGCCCATTTTCACAATAATCTTCCACATTTCTGAAAATAGTCTTAAACTAGTAGGATTTGGGGAGATTTCCGCCACTCATAGCTGCTGCCATAGCTACTAGTTCAAATGGCCTCATTCTTTAATTTGCGACAGCTACGATGAACAAACTCGTACTCATTCATTCTATTCCTACTTAGCCTAACGTTGCAATCTATCGATATTTTCACAAAACGATTTCCCGGGTATTTAGAATACTTTCCAGGGCTTTGATATAATAAAATAATACACATGAATATAGGCTGCTGATACGCCTTTTTCATCTCATTGCATTGGTTTTCTGGCGTTTTGAGTTTTAAGCTTGTGATACTCGTTTTTGAATGCATCTTACCGTTTTCCTGTCATCCTACCCTTTATTTCGTATGAAGTGTTCGGTAAAGTCATTTGAAAATTGATTTCATTTGAACCCAAAGATGTGATTCTCGATTCACGCCATTTTAGCATAGTGACTGTTGAAGCATGCTAAAGGATGTTTTCTCACTGACGAGGACAACATAATATTGGTGCAGTCGAGAAGGGGTCGGAGAAGTGTGCCGAGCAATTCAGCATTCAAATCGATAATTACAACCATTAGGCAATCGTCCTTCGGATTCTTATCAGGCTAATTTATGAAACCTATCGCACCAAACTTTTTACACGAAATGGAAAATCTAATGACATGAAGTTTTTATTCAACCTATTTTTATTTTAATTACATTTGTAAGTGAAAATATGAATGTGTGCGTGTGCGCCTACGGCTGTATGTGTATGTGCACTAATGCCCCACTTCTCATGTTTATGATAGTAGTTATCTAGAAAAGAGCCACAATTGCATCTTGCCTATCCTAGCAGGAATCAGCTGGTGATATTTTTTAATGGTTCGACCCGCTGATAAGGTATCAAAACTTGTCTCACTGCTTTGACCGAGATTTATTTAAGTTTGCTTGCGTTCACTACATTTTAATGTGTGTTCTTTTTGCGTGTGTTAAGTGCATATTTGTGCCAATCTCTGTCCAATTTTTATACGTTTGTACGCGCCATTATATCTGTAATCCTATTAGCTGCATCTTTTTTTCGTAAAGCAAATAACTTGTTATTTACAAATGAATGTTTCTCGAGACTATAAATGGATCTTGAATAAAAAATTGAGCTTACTTCCATTATGAGCAAGGGTGTTTGATGAAGAAATTAGAAGATTGATCTCAGTAGAAGACGACGGTGAATTTCTCTGGGCCAGCTGTTAGTTATCTTTATTGGAACATTCTTTCTGATGCCGTATCCGAAGCAATCTCTTTCGATTCCTGCGAAAACGCTAATTCGTTTTCATCTATTATTCGACGAACACAATCCGAGCAGACTATCATTATTGCTAGCAACGAGTATAGAGCGATTTGGTCAGTTCAAGTAGTAGGCCAATTCAGACTCATGTCCATATAACTGTTTGTCTGCGCTTGCATGCCTTTATGTGTACCTTAGATACTACCTAATGAATCACTTTCCTTTGATTTGGACAAATATTGATTATACATGCATGTATATACATCTCAGATGCATAGCCATATAACATTTCTTTAGCATCCATATAGCGGAACATAACATACCATAACATACCATACCATACCATAACATAACATAACATAACATAACATAACATAACATAACATAACATAACATAACATAACATAACATAA